ATTATATATTGATAATTCCTACTGTTTGTAATTATATGAAGAGTATATAACAAGCTACATGTATAACTTTAGTTATTATCTATTTTAAATCATCTACTATATAGGTGTTAGAATATTTGATTAGTTCTACACTATGCTACCATACCTATAACCTGCTTTTAACAACAAAAATAAAAAAATAAATATAGATCTATTAATCTTAGTGTTATGATTAAGTTGTTAGACTGTTATATAAGAGATCTGAGATTCAAATTCTACTATCAACAAATTAGATTAATTACTTAGACTTTTATATCTAACTTTTAGTAAATTCTGTTTATTTTAGAGTTGTAACCTTGTAGATCATTTTATACTAATATCAATTAGATATTAGAAGTATGATATAACATTATAAAATAAATCTTAATAAGATTTATAAATAGAGAATCTGTATAGTAGAAATTCTGAATTAGTAAAGTAGTAAGCTTTTAACAGTTATATTTATTAATATTTGATTTAAAAGAAAACTATATTCAAAAAGATATAGATCAAATCAGATACAAGTAAGTCTGTATTATAGTAAAAGCTATATATTATAGCAATATTAACTTGGTTTGATAGCTAACTGAATTTGGGAGAATCTAACTATAAAATATCTAGAGAAATAAGAAAACATATACTAATAGAGAGCTATAGCAAAAACTAATATTACAAAAGTTTAAGCCAGATAAATTTGTAAAATAGATATATAACTACTTTAGTAGAAATCACTATTAAGATTAATTAAAGCTCTGTAGAATCATAATAAATTAAATAATACATATTTTAAGAGGATCTAAGTTATATAGTAAATAGATCTATGAGTAATTAGCTAGCTTAAGTATTTAGATATAGTAATAATATTAGTTTGATATAAAAAGAAAAGTTAATGATTAGAGTATTAAAATAGATAATTACAAATAAGTTGCAGATATAATAGTATAATATAAAACTAACAGATAGTTCAATATCTATATAGTAGACTATTTAAATTAGATAATAACTAATATTATATATATGGCTTGTTATATACTTATTATATAATTATAAAACTCTAAAAGATTTTTTTTTTGTTGTTAAGGCAGCTTACATTGCTGAAGGAATTTTATTAGAATTGTCAATAGGATTATACATTGATAATCCCTACTGTTTGTAATTACATGAAGAGTATATAACAAGCCACATGTACAACTTTAGTCATTGTCAAATTTAAGTAGTCAGCTGCATAGACGATTAGACCATCTAATTAGTTCTACACTATGCTACTATACCTGTAACCCGCCTGTGAGTTACCTATTTAAATACTCTGTTTATTAACTGATGCAGATCCAACCTAATGTTACTGCAACACCTAACTACTTAAGCCAGCTAGCTCGTTACAGATCTATTTATCCAAAATGGCTTAGGTCCTCTCAGGATACATTGTACCTAACGTATTGTAGATACTGTAGAGCCAGTTAACCTCGAAGCATATCTACTAGAATAGTCTATATCTATTTTACAGATTCACCTAGTTTAGACTCTTGTAGATGTTCATACAACTCTAGTTCCTACCATGGCTCACTACCAGTTTTCTGTATCTATCTTCTTGGATATTTCACGAGGCAGATCCTCTCAATTCAGTTAGCCACTAAGCCAGGTTGGTATTACTGATCCTTCCTGTGAAATAAATTTATGCGCACTTGACTCGATCTGCATCTTTCGTCAATAGTTTCCTTTTTAGATCAAGCATTAGCTAGTATGACTATTAAAGGCTATACTACTTCACCAACTCGGGATTTCTATTATGCAGGTCCTCTGCCCATAGATCCTATTAAGATTTATTTATGTAATGTTACATCTCACCAAACACCTTGTTACACTTCTAATATTCGGATGATATTGGTGCAATGTGATTTACAGGGTTACAACTCCAGAAATGAACAGGGTTTACTATAAGTTGGGTACAAAGGTCTGAGTAATTATTCAAATTCATCGACAGTAGAATTTGAACTCCAGACCTCTTGCATAGTGGTCTGGCAACCTAACCACTATACTAAGATCACTAGACCTTCAACAATTCAGATTTTATGAAGTTAGAAACAGAATATTATATAAGAAAAATCGAAAGAATTCAGATAAATTAATTCGAGTAATTAGATGAACAGAAGTAGAACCTATTCTCTATATGATGCATAGTACTCCAACAGCTGGATACTTAGAAATAGATGCTATGTACTACAAAATAGCAAACTTATACTATTGGGACTAAATATATAAGGATATTAAAAATTATATTCAAGTATGTGAAGTATGCTAACGATGTACAAAAACCAAAAAAAAAGAACTACTCCACTCTATTCAAATAGGATGAGCTTTTAAAAGAATTAGAATTGATTTAGTAGAACTTCTCCTAATTACTAAGCAAAATAATTGCTATATTATTGTTGCACTAACTATCTAACAAGATAGCCAGAAGCTAAAGCCGTACTAGACGTAGGTGCAGAAACTCTTGCTAAATTTATTTTTGAAGATATTGTTTGTAGATATGGAGTACCTCAAGTAATGCTCTCAGATAATAGAAAGAATTTTGCTAGTGAAATAGTCAAAATACTTTGTGAAAAGTTTTTAATTAAGCACATATTTTCTTCTCCTTACTATTCTCAGACAAATAGAATAGTAGAAAGATTAAATAGAATACTTTGCAACTCTCTTGCAAAAGTGAAAGAACAAGATGAAGACTGGGATATATATATACCTGCTGTCTTATTTGCATATCGGACAAAAAGATACTCTACTACAGGATATACTCCTTTTGAATTAATCTATAGATGACAGGCTAAAATGCTGATTGAAGCTCTCATCCCTGTAGAAAACATAGATGTAGACAAAGAAATCACTTTGGAAGATAGTATATTGCAACGAGTATTTGAGTTGATAGATGAACTCCCTTATCAACATAGTGAAGCCTATAGAAATATTTACAGAAAAATCTCAGAAAAAATAGAAAGTTAGATTCAATATGAATATTTGAAAGGAAGAATTCGAAATTGAAGACAAAGTTTGAATACAAAGAAAAGCCTTAGAAAATTCAGGATCAGCTAAATTTGAAGACAAAAGAAGTAGACTCTTTATAATTAAATCAAAGCTAAATAACAGAGCTTATAAACTTCAAAACATAGTAGGAAAAATACTATTAAAGTATTATAATAGTAACAGATTAGCTAAATATTATGAAAAACAAAATTGGCAACTAGTAATAGTAATAAATAAATAAGATTTTCAAAGAAAATTTTTCAAAACCCAGTGGAACCCATATGCCAAATTTGTAAAACATTTTGAATTTATCTTTCGTATAATATCAAAACTTATAAATATAGACCTTATCCCAACAATTTTTTCTAAATTAGAAATTCTTTAAAATAGTTACTTTTAATTAATATCCCAAAAATAAATCCCCAAAACACTCAACACTTGCAACCTCAAACCTTAAATGCTCTAAATAAATTCTTAATAATTTGGAATCAAGATCCTCTTGCAACAAACCATAGTTTAGTTCTTACAGGAAATCAAGTTTCTATAATGAATGAAACGAATATTTTCTTAATAATAACAATACCAACAGAAACAGAAATTCTAATTCAGATAACAAAAAATGAACTAGAGATATTTGAAAGTCTCTTTTCTAGTATAAACTTAAATAAACTCCTAGAAACAGAAGAAACAACTATGCTCTCTTAACAAAAAAAAAGAAAATTCAAATAAAGAAACTTTAGAAGAATTCTTTCTTCAAGAATTAGATCAAGAAGAAAATCAATCTCTCTCTAATAACCTCCTTATTAAATTTGTTAATGATATAATAGAAGATACAGAAGAAGTTTTTATAAGGCTAAATCCCTTAATAGAAACTACTTTTAAGGAAAAGCTCAAAGAAATAATCTCTCGATTGAAAAAAGAAAACTGAGGAAAACAACAAGATTAAGTTCTTAAAACTCTTGAAGCATGTTACTACTTAGGACAACTACGAGAAAGCATAAAAGAAAATAGACAAAAACTAAAGTATACTCAGAATACTTTAAAGAAATCTTTAAGCCCTCAACAAGCTGACAGAATATGAAAATACTCTTAACGAGTTTACTAAATTTTTTAGATATATGGACTATTAAGACTTTGCTTCACTATAAAGATAACCTTCACTAACTTAGAAGAGTTAAGTAATGAAGATTTTACAAAACTGCTAGAATCAATTAGAATTTGCAATACTCATTTTTAAAGGGGACGGAAATGTTATAAAATGAGTTTCAATTATTTTATCTTATTATTTTATTATTATTATTAGTATTTTTATAAATAGTTAGTTTCTTGAATGAACTTTATTTATTATATCACTTTTACAAATAATTTAGTAGTCACAGATAGATTTAAACTTTACCATTAGATCTAGCTTAAAGAGACCTTTCAAACGAGCTATAATTCATAACAGTAGAACTCATAGTTTTAGAGTTGTCTTAGAAACAACTTAGAAATAGTTACTGTTCTTACCGTTCTTACCATTCTTACTGTTCTTACCATTTTTACTATTCTTACTGTTCTTACCATTTTTATCATTTTTACCGTTCTTACTGTTCTTACCATTTCTACTGTTTTTATTCTTAATTGTAAAAAGCTATATAAACCCTACCTTTTCTCTTTGTCCTAACTTAGGTTTTAACTTCTGCAATCTCCTTAATATTAGAATTCTCTTAGTACAGAAACTAATAGATAGTCTTGTATTATTGATATTGTATTCTAAATAAAGTATAATCTTTGCTCTTTCATTAACTTTGTAATGAACTGCCACAGTGAAGTAATATTCCACTTGGACACCGTTGAGAGCCCTTCTTCCATGTCTTATGTTACTTGTGTTGAATTAAGAAGGCCGACACTCGTAATACTTCAATTAAATAATAACGTTTTATATTATCAGGAACTTCGCCTTTACAATGTAAAGCCAAATGAGACTTCATAACTGCAGGTCTTCCACATTGCCATTTTCCTTTAGTACAATATTTACAACTTGCACTATAATGGCCTTTACCGTCAGATTCTCCAGGATCAAAATCATTCCAAACAGCTGCTTTTGGTCATCCACCCTTATTTACTACAATTTTTCGAAGACCTAATTTATTTGCTTTTCGCTTACGTGTAATTTCACCAGATTGGGATATTTGCAATGTTTCAGAACCACTTTCAGGTAAGTCTTCTTCCATAATAAAAGTTTTTATTTAATTATAACTTTTTATAAAAAAATTAATTATAGATTTATTAATTGTGAAAAACATCGAAGATAGATTTATTTATTACAAGAATCTCAAAGGTAAATGGATTTTATACATTTAAAATGATTAAAACTTTATTTTTTTTAAATAGTTTGCTTGCTACTAAAAACTTTGGGGGCAATAATATAAACAAATTTGAAATGACGGGTAACAAAAAAATAATAGAAGACCCTCTAAAATCATTAAAAAAAAAATCTTTTAAATAATCTAATAATTGAAAATTAATTAGTTTCTCTAGTATAAATGTTCGTTGGTCCCTATAACAAAGTACATGTAAATTATTTACCAGTTATAGGTTAAAAACGTTTGACATCTTGAAAGAGAATTCAACGCCAACAAAGCAGCTTTTAGATTATTACTCTAGCTTGCTTTAGTACTATAATATAAAAACTTAAAGAGAATAAAAAACCGCCAAGTTAGTAATAACCTCAAAACAACTAAATTGTAACCACTAACTCTAAATCAAAGAACAAGTACAAAGCTAAAAGGTTTTGGTAGGATAATATATGAAGTTTTGTTATTACTAGCTACTCAAAAACAGAATACAACTACGAAACTAAGAGCTTTGGTAGAATAATACCAGAATATAAAGTTTTATGATCACCCTGCTAAGAAAATCAAAAGCACGAAGCTAAGTTGCTTTAGTAGGATAATACGTATAGTACTGTATAGTCTTCATGATTTTTGATTGGTCAATGAGGTTTGGGATATGCAATAATCAATGGGCACCGGTTTTGGGTTTTGATTTGGGTTTGGGATCACGACAATGGTCGACTCCCAAACCCAAATTAGGTATAAATCCCATACTTGCCCATTCGGGTTTGGTTTACATCCCTAGTTATAATGCTCTCAAAAATATTTTTATATTCTCTGAGAACAATGAGAACAACACCTAATTCTAATTATGCTAATTATAAAGGAATTCGTACCACGTCAATCTCCACAACGTGCATCAAGAAATTTTTTTTTAGTGCAGTTTTGTACAGATTTGCAGATTTACACCTATTTTATTTTTCCTGATGGTATATAAATATAATAACATAATTTTTAAGAAATTCAAAATTTAAAATGGCAAAGTTTTTAGAAAAGCTTTCAAATGATTGCCTTGAACTTCTTGACGACAAAGAAGATTTTAATGTAATTATTAATGTTAGAGAATCACAGAATACTAAGACATTCCAAGCACATACAAATATTTTAAAATATAGATCTTTATATTTTCGCAATGAATTAGCGAAAATTAACAAAGATAAAAATAATATTAAAACGATTAATTTAACCCATATTTCTATTCAACAATTTGAAATAATCATTAAGTAAGTTATGTATTTTAGTGGATTAACAAAATTAGGCCTTTACCTAATTACCAAAATCTATATATATTATGGAAACTTTCGTAGTTAGGATTTAAGGACCTATTTTTTAAACCCACTTGTTAATCTAACATGTAATATATGATTGAAAACTAATATTAATTATTAAATTTATTAATTTAATAAAGATATATTTACGGAGGAATTGTTTTTTTAGAAAATCAAGACGCATCATTTATTTTTGAACTCATGCTTATTGCTTCTGATTTTCTTCTTGACGAATTGACAAAATATCTTGAAGCTGATTTAATTAAAGACCATGCACACTGGCTTCGTTTACATTTTGAACGTATTTATTATAAAAGTTTCCAAAATGAAAATCTTCAAGAATTACAAAAATGGTGCAATGAAATTTTAATAAAGTACCCGGATAAAATTTTTGAATCGGAAAATTTCACTTCTCTTCCGGAAAATGCATTAATCTCACTTATTAAACGAGATGATTTACAAATGGAAGAAGGTAAAATTTGGGAACATGTTATCAGATGGGGAATTGCTCAAAGTACAGATTTACCATCCGATCCTAAAGACTGGTCTCATGAAAATTTTCAAACATTAAAGATTATACTACAGAATTGTTTGCCTCTTATTCGCTATTTTCAAATAACAAATGTTGATATTATTGATAAAGTGAAACCATATAAAGAAATTCTTGAAAAAAATCTTTGGGATGATATATTATTAAGACTTATTATTCCAGATAGACAAATAACATCAACAATTCTTCCACCCCGTAAGATTTCAACATCAACATTACCACCTAGAATGACCGAAGTATTTCCTTCAATAGTTATTAATGAAGTTCATGCGGCAGAAATTGCATCGTGGGTTGATAATAAAACTGAAGAATATTCTATAACGAATAATCCATATAAGTTTAAACTGATTCTTCGTGGAACCAGAGATGGTTTTACTGCACAAACATTTTGGAATTTATGTGACAAGCAAACAAACACTATTGTAGTAATGAAGGTTAAAGGCACTGATGAAATTCTTGGTGGTTATAATCCTATTGCATGGGATAAATCGATTGAAAATTATGTGAGTTGCAATGATAGCTTTATTTTTTCATTGAAAAATGGTAATATTCAATCCTCTATTTTAAGTCGTATCAAAAATGTACAATATGCAATTTGTTGTAATTCTAGACGTGGTCCATGTTTTGGTGGTGGTCATGATATTTTTATGGGGAATAATTCCAATATAGAGAATAAATGTTATTGTAATCATTATTCATACGAAAAAGCAATTAGAAACATAGATGACAGATCATACTTTTGTATAGAGGAATATGAAATATTTCAAATTCATAAAAAGTAGATATTCTAATAATATTTACTGGTATTATTAAATGATAAATAATATATTATTAGAATACTAAATCTAGTTAAAGAAATAACTGATTGAATTAATTCGAATATGACTTTCAACAATACAGATTAGTAAACCTTTTTATATATTATATTATTATTTATTGTATCTCATTTTGTAATGAATATTTCTTACTACGAAAGTATATGCAGACATTACTTCTGAGCAAACTGATTTATCCTGTTAACTTAAGAATTATCGAATTTTTTAAATCTACACTTGCTCAAAATAACAACAAAAATATTTATTTAATACTTTCTTAATTTTACATGAATCTATCAGAAATCCCTATATATAAGAAATGTAATAATCAATTTAAAATAGCTGATTTTTTGTTGACATCTGAGTCTCGCCAAGAGAAAATGAGACTTCGGACTTAAAACTTTATTTCTTTTCGAACTCGATCACTATAAAATCTAATGTTTTACAGTAGTTCGATAAATTATAAACTTGTCTCATTTTCCCTTAGCATCATTCTTATAGAGAAAGTTAGGCTTCAATCTTTTCTAACAGTTCTAGTAGTTTGTAATATCCCCCTAAAAAATGTTATGTAAACTGAGTTCAAAGTCCTGTATTCAAATTAAAAACCTATACTTATTTTGTTTTGTTGATTAGCAAACTTATATTTAAAATCTACTTTAAACTACAATTTGAATGTGAACTTTGTAAGAATAATTTTAGACATAACAGTTTATACCGCATCTTTAATATCAATTTTTTCGGTTATGATATAATCTTTGTAAATAATATACGCTATTTAATAGTTTCTTAGGAGAGGGTCAGAAAACACCTGTTTTTTTATTTTGACCAAATTAACCCTTCTCCCTAGCACAATTATTTATTTGAATGGAATAAATACAAATTTCTAAAATTTATAAAGAATAAAAATTATTTGATTAAATCTTGGTTGAACATATATAAATTAAATTCAAGACTTTTAAAGTTCTATTTGCGTCAAGTTTCCGGTCCTGAACCTTTAGAAGCCAGCACTTACGTAATTTTAAAGTTTAGCATCGTTAAAAAGCTTGTTATTGTTTGTAGTAGTAGTAAGGCTTAGTATCGCGTTTTTCTTAACGTTTGTAGTAATAGTAATAGGTTCGGCATCATGTTTTTCTTCATGACGTTTGCCTAAAAATATGGGCTCGGCATAACGTTTTTCATCATGCGTTTGTCAAAAAATACGACGGGCTCGCATCCCCGTTTTTCTTCATGACGTAGTAGTAAGGTTCGGCGTCACGTTTATCAATAATGGTCTAAAAATTATATTGACGTATTAGAAAGAATTCACTGCGTGATACTCTAAAAAAATGAGCAAGAATAATTTTTACTGGCAACCACAATCGAAGCCAACAAAGTTATAACAGCAATAATTGAGATAAACTTCATTTTGTTAAATTTTTTTTAAATTTTTAAATCTCAATTATTATTATATTTTTATTATTATAAAGTATTGAATTATAAAGAATAAAGCTAAAGGAATCTTCAGAGTTTATATAGAGATTTATTTTATTTTATAATATTGTAAAATCTCAATTATGATTTCTAAATAATGGTTTAAGATTTAACACCAAATTCAATGGTGTATTATTAAAAGTCAGCATAGTTTGAAGCCATGGCTTAAGTTTTTACAAGACAGTGTATTAGGTACATTTTATGAAAACACAGTATAGATTCGTAATGGGATGATTAGCATTAAACAATGCTTTCTGTTTTCGTGGCTTCAAAAAAATAAAAAATAAAATAAAATTAAATTAAATAGATTAATGAAAAAATAAATATGTTATTATCAGAAGTAACTGAACAATGACTAGTTTAAAATCCTTTATTCCGTTACTGTTCATTTACAAAATAAAGTACCGTATTTAAGATGGCGCAATTCAATAACATAATTTTGATGATATTCTTTTATTGCAGAAAGTTTAAAGAATATTATTTTAAAAAAATTACCCAAGAGAAATAGATTCGGATTTGAAATATTTATCAAATATCAAGCCTCTACATAAACTGATATTTCCACGATATATGCACCTCACCTAGATTCTGCCTCTTCTATGGAAGGAACTGGAATAATGCTTTCATCACCTTTTTAAAACATAAAAATTTGGTTGGCTGTCGATCAAAATTTTGATTAAAAGGTTTTCCAGACTTTTATTTTGATAGATGTTTGAAATTTTGTTAAAAATTTGAACCAAGTATTTCAACACCAAAACTAACTAAAATTCATTGAATTTTTAATATTTAATTCTATAGATTCTTGGAATTCGAATAAAAAAATTTTCATTAGGCATGAAAGAAGTTCATTTTTATTGGTTGTTTATTTACATTTTTTATAATTGCTAATAGGATTTTTAACCTGAAAGACAAATTTTTTTACTGTTAAACCTAAGATTATTATTAATTATAATATTAAACTTATAAGTTTTATATAAACAATGAAGATTTCTAAAGATCTCTATAAAAATCAACTTTAATTAGAAGCGACCAGAATAAATAAAATTATTACATAAAGTTTTTACCTTTTTAAAACGAAATAATAAATAGAAAGAAAAACAATTTTTTTTTTTTTTGACATACGTACAAGTTTATAACTTCACGTGAGCAAGTTATTAGATTACAAATATTATCAAAACTGTAAAGAGTACTTAGTGTGATAGCAACAATGATCAGCAATAAAACGAGCTGTTATGCTTGTAATCGTTTAGAATAAGCAACTCACTGTCTTAAAAGCCGGTAAGAATCTGGTGATATTTTATAGTGTACTGTACATCAGGGACATCACGATTGCAAAATGTAGTATTAATAGCTGTATCGATAATAGTATGGTCAAATTTAATAAAATATTGTAATATTTTGTTTAATGATGTAAAAATATAATAAAATCTTATATTTTAATAGCGTTAGTTCAAAAAAATTTTACATTTCTCGAAAAAAAATTTAGTGCAAGTTTTTTGTTTTTACTCGATAAAATTTTAGATATTATATTATTAGATCGGTACTTTAATTTTAATCAACAGTTAATCACAGAAAATCACAATTTATTGTTATCAAAAACAGAATTTATTAAATTATATCACAGATTTCGCATGTCCCTGCTACTTGAACTGCTAGAAAAGGTTGGAGGCTAACTTTTTCTATAAGAGTGATGCTAAGAGAAATGAGACAAATTTAAACTAAAACATTAGATTTTATTAGTGATCGAGTTCGAAAAGAAATAAAGTTTTAAGTCCGAAGTCACATTTTCTCTTGGCGAGAACAAAAATCAGCTATTTTAAATTGATTATTACATTTCTTATAAATAGGGATGTCTGATAGATTCATGTAAAATTAAGAAAGTATTAAATAAATATTTTTGTTAGTTA